ATCGTCCGGTATTTTGAGTTCATTCAAAGAACTCGAAAACCGGCGAGCTAATATCTTCGTCAATGGTTCACCTCCTAATTGCACGATTTCTACTGTAACGACAACTTTGCCAGGACCCCTTACTCGTTTCGTGTGCCTTACTGCATCTTCTTTGGACAAGATAGATTTTCTATGAATTATGAACGCTATTAAAATTGCGCCCCCATCTGCTGATCTCCTGTAGAATAGTAGGTGTCAGAGGTTAAACGCTAGCAGATGCTTTTCCTTTCGTCTAACTTCACTGGATCCGACAATGTCGTACTTGATTTTATTAGATTCATTTTCTAGTTTTTAAAAGCCTTGCTTCGCCTGGAAGTTGGACATTGTTAACCTTAGCACACTGTAATAACTGTGATTCATAAGCCGGATATTATTCTTACCATACTTTGCTTTTACACCTGAGCAACTGTTGCCCCCGCCCGCGCACTTCAGCTGCCAGCGCATAAAAGCCATGGTTTAGGTTGAGACTTAATCTCTTTGGTCATTTAGCTATAACTCAACACGCTGGCCAGGCGAATTGGTGACTGCTGCCTCTCCTACTTGGCCGGGTATGCTTTTGAAGCTTCCGTAGGATGGTTGAACCTGTCAGTGCCTAGAGGTTTAACTGTGCCTCATTTGGAGTACCCGTTGTCATCATCGTACCACGTTGATGTGGTGGCAATGGGACATGGGAGTGTCCTATAGTAAATACGTCGAAAGTACTTCATTACTTTAGGGCTCCTACAGAGTTAGTTTTTATCTCTTATTCCTAAAACGAGCAGAATACGTAAGAACGGTCATTAATGCTTGGTGTCGCTGATGAAAATGCTACTATAAATAAATCGCATAATGAATCTGCTGCTGATAGAAGTTTTACATGATTAGTACCCTTCCGAATTGCCCTCTAGCTAATCATTACCGCTAATCAACGCCTATACAGATGGTACATGTATCCAAAACTATACGTATTCGAATGTTGTATATGATTTTATTTAGCTTCTGGGGCAGTTATATAACAGTTTTATAATTTGCGAAACCGAAACGATTCCTGCCTTATTCCTCGCCATTGACGAGCATGCCGTCGCTGAACGGATTCAGTACGAAGAGCTTCTGCGAAGTGAGCCCGGATGCGGATTCTGTTTGACGATTGTCGCAAACCTGCTCATTTGTGTGTTTCAGAATATTTCCGCAACGGAAAACTGCTAAGCGGAATGATGTACTTTGATCTTCAGGTACGCATGACTTCTGACCAGGTGCAAAACCTTGCGAAAGCGTGGACACTGCT